TTTGGAATTATTTATAAATGATAAGAAAGTGGACGGTACATTATTTACGAATTATAGTCTGAAATATATTCAGGCTTACAAAAATAAACAACCTCCAAATATTAATAAGATAAAGTTCTCTTAACAAGATTGTAAATAAAAATAGCAAAATTAATAATTCAATATTATCAAAATAACAAAAATAAACATTAAAATATAAGCTAAAATTGAGAGCAAAAACCAAAAAGAAAAATTATTTTGTGTTCCAATAAAAAATTTAATTACAAACTTATTTCCACAGTATTCTAATAAAAAATTCCAAAAATAAAACATAATTATTGCCTCTAAATTTATTAGAAAATTAAAGAAACAGCCGCCAATTTATTTTTATATTTAAGCTGAAAATAGCAGATTTCTGTGTTTAAATCAGAAAATGGCTATCAAATATCTAAATATGTAAAATAATTATTTTGTGTCTAATAAAAAATATAAAGTTTTGAGTGTGATATTTGGAAAATAAAAAATATACCTAAATGTGTTTGTGTTGTGTCTTGGGAGTGTGTTAGAGTTGAGCCGAAGTCATTGGCTCATGTTTTTCGAAGAGCATAAGAATAACAGTTCATAAAGTGTTTTATCTTCCAAGTATATCTTCCAGTTAGAAGGTAGAATGTTGTGATTAGATGAAGGATAGTAAAATCCAGCAGGCTGGCACTGGCTTTTGAACAACAAAGCAAATAATAGGGTTATCGAGTTTGAAGTAGAAAAATTATATTAGCTGTGATCAATGTCAAGCTTCCAAAAAATAATTCAAAGTCTTAATATCACCACACCAACATTGTCAGTAATTTTCCAAAATTTATATGAATAATATTAAAATAATTAGTATGAAGTAGTTTTTTGAATTGAGCCGAAGTCGATGGCCATGTTGACCGCACAATTGTTTAACACAGGTTGCTTGTTTACAAGTTTAGGAAATGTTGATGTATTTGGATTTCATATAGAGGATCAATGATGATGGGATTAGAGGGGATATCCCTGAGATATATAGGTAGATCAATAAATCTCTCTACATCTTCGTCATACCAACCTCTGATCATAATCCACCAATATACCCAATGTCTTTATTAATTCACCAAAATCACTCATTCCTCACATAAACAGCACTGTTAATCGTAAATTCCCTCAATACCCCTGTTAATTGCACAAATCCATTTATATTGATCTTAATCCATTTATATCATCCATTGGAACTCAACTTTACAGCGCAGCAGGCGAAAATTTTGAAAATAAAAATTTCGGTTCCGGTTCCGGATATCCGAAATCTTCGGTTCGGATACCGGTTCCGGTTCCGGGTATCCGGAGATTTCCCAGGAACCGCCATCCTTAATGTTGATTTCTTTTATTTTAATGCTCATTTATTTTTGCGAGCCTAAATAGTTTTTAAACAAATTTTGTTATATTTTCTCTATGAGATTTACTAAAGACTGACTGAGTTTGATTTGATTTTTCTCATTATACTATCTCTTAATCAGGGTGCAAGATGCAAAAATTAAGAAAAACCTGCGAGCTCCAGCAGTTTATGCCAGGAGATAAATGCTATCCATGTCTAGCCATATTTCTAGATAATATTGAATATCTAATTTTTTGGCATTTTATTTATGTTTAAATGTTTAATTTTTGTGATTTTGGTATTTAAGTAAGCATTTATTTTTGTGAGTCTAAATAATTTTTAGGCTAATTCCTTTATATTTTCTCTGAGATTTTTTTTAAAACCTTGTCGTTGTTTAATTTTATTTTTCTCAATATTTGTAATATATCTTAATCACTAATCTCCAACAGAACTTTGCGTTTTGCGATATAAAATTATTTTCAGAAAACAGAAAATAACTACATACAGACCACCTTTTCCACCTTCACTTATCCACTTATCACTTTTAATTACCATTTTAGCCGAAATGGTAATTAAAAGTTTAACAGAACATCTACCACATTTTTTAGTGACATCAAACTGTCTAAAGAAATTCAAATCTTTTGCTCAATTGCACATAAATGACTTTGACAAACATTAAAATATATTAGAAATTAATAGAGACGCTTTGCTTCTTAAATTTTTTTTATTCGTCTAAAAAAAGAATTTATTAAAAATATTTATAGAGAAAAAGGAAAAATTGAAACAAAGAATCTTAAAATAAATTCAACTAGACTTATTTCTTGACTCGCAATTTCTGAACGGGTACTGATCGGAGCGGTTTGCCATTTCGCCTTTCTTCTTTTATCAAATTTTCATCTTTTATCGCCAAATGCTCATGTTTTTTGATTTAACTTTTAGTTATCGTCACACTCTTAGGAATGCAATTGGTTCTGGTCCCTAAAGTGTTTTGATAATATAAAATAACAGATTTTGTTATAGTTTATTAGTTATTTTGTTTATATGAAATTATTCGATTATTTCCGTTTCTGCATCATATTATTTTTGCAAGCCTGTATAGTATAATTCAGGCAAAAATTTTGCAGATAAATAGCAACTTGAGGATATTTAACAATAATTAGATTAACGGGTAGGAACCAGGGATGTCACGGGTTACCCGAAACCCGATACTCGAAACCCGAAACCCGGCCTTTTTTTCGACCCGATACCCGAAACCCGATCCGAGAAATTTTCTAAAACCCGACCCGAAACCCGACCCGAGTTTTTTCAAAATTTTCGCCCGCGAGGCAGAAAAAGGGAAGATTTTTAGCTTAATGATCCTCCAAAATTCTGAAAATTTTCGCCTGCGGCGCTGAAAAAGGGAAGATTTTTAGCTTAATGACCTCCAAAATTCTGAAAATTTTCGCCTGCGGCGCTAAAAAAGGGACTTTTTTTCGACCCGAAACCCGAAACCCGATCCGAAGAAAATTTTGGAAACCCGATCCGAAACCCGACCCGACTTTTTGCTCAACCCGAAACCCGAAACCCGATACGAGAAAAATTTTGGAAACCCGATCCGAAACCCGACCCGACATTTTTCTCAACCCGTGACATCCCTGGTAGGAACCGAACCCGCGACCTCGGTGAGTTACGTCCTTGATGATGCACTGCCATCAGAGCTACGGTGGCAGTGCATCATCAAGCCTAAATTCGGATAGGTAAATAATCCTTACAGTACTAATGCTAAATTTTAAGGGCGAGAATTGTAATCAAATTCGAATTTTTAAATAAATTTTATTAAATTTTAAAGTTGGTCTCTGTTGCTTGCCTAGCATTAGGCCTCTATTTATTTGTAAATGCTCCAAGATCCATATCAGAACCAGCAGATGTATTACTAAATCCAGCAGTGCTTCTTGCCTCTATTGGCTTAATTTCGGGTTTTGTTTCAATTTTTGGAATGTTTGGTGCACTCAGGGATAATGTGTTTTTACTTAAATTGGTAGTTACTTTTTAATTATTTTATTAAGGTTTTAGCTTGAAGTCGATCGAGAGTTGTTTTCCATTAAAAACTAATTATAAAAGTTATTTTTTAGTTTGCCCTATGTGTCTTCTTTGGTTATCTTTTGTTGGTTGTATCTACTTGTCTTTTATTTCTTTTGGTAAGATTTTTTAGATTTTGTGTTTTTTACTGTGTCTTTTTAACCCTACTCGATTTACTTAATACTAAAATATAAATGGGCTTCCACCCATATACACAAAATTAATCCTAATTGAACTAAAGTACTACAAAATTTGCATGCTCCTTTAATTGCCCACTATAACATAAATTAGCTTTATAAAGCAAAAAAATAAAATATTTAATATTAAGTAATATTAATCGGCACAATAAAATGTTTTAAACCAGATATACTTTACAATATATTTTTATATTTTATCAGTTTTATTCTGATGTTTCTGGTGAATCCTCAACATTTATATCTATCCAATCTGTGCTCCTACACTCAATTGCTCGATATCATTCCAATAAAAATTATGCTGATTTTATAGATTATCTTCAAGAACAAGTAATTTTTATTAATTTTTGTAGAAATTCCATGTGGGAACGTAGCTTTTTATTAATAATAATGGTTGTGACAAATTCCTTAGTTAAATGAATATCCGTTTATACATTTCTAAAATCAAAATTCAGTTTTCGTTTTTTCCTCAGTATTGTGTTTTTTTATTTTTTAATTCCAAAACGTTTGAATTAATTTAAAATTTTGACAGGATTCAAATTTTAAATTTGGTTTTGTTTAATATATTTAAACTTTAAAAATCAGAATTATAAAACGAAAAAAACTTTAACCAACCGGAAATACATATACTATGGTCAAAAACGTTGTATATTTTTGCAAGCTAAACTTGATTTAGCTAATCTGACAAACTCCTTTATTTGTTTTCTTAAATAATTTTATGAAATTAGTATCACTATCACCTCATAAAAACAATTATAAATAAAAATAATATTTTAAAGCTTGAATGTTGTGGAAGCACAACTTTCCATGATTGGCAATTTAGTGAACAATTTAAATGTAATGCTTCGAATCCATATCCTGAACGGTTTTAAAAAATAATTTATTTAAAAAGATTTTAATTTTCAAGTTGTGGAGTGCCATATTCTTGTTGTAGAAAATCTGTGGTTTCTAGAGCGGGTGCCGGTGAAGTTAACCCTCTCACACCTGCAATTCGATCAATTCAGTGTTGGCAAAATGCTCAGAAGAAGAGAGAACAGGAATTAGATTCTGTTGGTTTTTGATTAAAGGATTTAACCCAGGGTTGATGAGTGTTGGATTCTAATCTTCGAAATTTCCTGGATCTAGCAGCATTAAGCATTTTTGCATTAAAAGTTCTTGACTCAATATCTCCATCAAAATGGGTTATATAGAGAAGAGACGCCTGAACCCATACCCAGTTTTGTATTCAAGCCATTGGCCAAAAATAAGCATAAAATTAAGGAAAGGTGGGGTCGGCGTGCAAGCTTTCCCTATTTTCGGGAATCGGGTCTGATAGATCCCTGATACATATAAGCCTTCAATTAGTTGTTTTTAATCATTTGTTCTTTATTCATATAATTATGTCAAAGGATATTTATGTCCTTGGATGTCTCCAACCATTACGCACATTATTTGATTCACATGCTTTACATATTGGAATGATTGTACTTTCTATTATATTCCCAGTGGTTTGTTTTAAATTAATTTAAAATGACCATTGACCATTGAACTTTCCATAATTAATTTAAGTGTGTAACTGTTTGCCTCTCTCAATGTTTGGCACGGCAAATAGACTATCAACACTTTTTACTTCGGAGAGAGCAAAGGCGAATAGCTCGAAATGAGAGGAGAGAAAAGCGTTATTTGGAGCAGAAAGGAGAAATTAAAATTGTAAACTTAAATTATAAATAGGGAATAGATTTATATGGATTTCCGGCTTAATTAACAGAACTCATTGGGTTCTGTAGCGCCAAAATACAAAACATATTTCTAACAAGTCCATAAGGTCATTTATGAGTTACCGATCCATAATTTCCATATTTTTCCCTATTCAGATTTTTGATTCATAGTGCATATTAGAGATTGGACTGGAAGCGTCGTATGGGAATATCAAACTACCAACATAGCATGTAGTCCCCTGATATCACACAACATCACCCTTAGTAATCCCATATCCCCTGAGATTCCCCCAAATTTGCCCCTCGACTATCCGCCAACCTTACTGGAAAATTACGGAAATTACTAAATTTTTAAGGGAGAACAACACAAAAGACAAACAACAGAAAATGCTCAAAAACAAGGAGAAAAAGCCGAAGTTATTGTTCCACTTAATAAATGTTCCCCTCCACGGTCACCACCAAAAGTCAAACCTCCTCCTACGCCAAAGTATATATTTAGAGGAAAATATAATATTGTGTAATTTTAAGAAATGATGAGGAAGCAGCCCAATTAGGTACTTCAATTAAAGCTGGCAAACTTGAGTGGAAGGTAAATAATTAAATATTCAATATGGGAGAAAATTAGTAAATTTTAAAATGGAAAACTTGTAAACTTATGGACGTCGGCGAGGGGTTTGCCGAAACAAACCTTCATAACTATGAGCTTTCCCTTTTAGTAGCTAATAATTATATAATAGCCAGCTTATTTCGTGGCTTACAAAAATATAGCGATTTCTTACTGGTCATCATGGGTTGAATAAATTTGAAATTCAAAATACATAAATAATATAAAAATAAAATATTGTGTATATTTTCTTTAATATTTCTTTTTCCTACTAAATTGTTAAAAAATTTTAGATTGGAAAAACTGGCCGAAAGGCAACAAAAGAATCTTCTTCTAGAGCTTCCAGTTTCTCCCCTCTTCGCAATCTTTCAATTAAAAATAACAAAAAATGTGAAGGAAAGAGAAAGTCTTCAACCCTCGAATCTGTGCCAAACAATAAAATTAAAAAGCGGGTATTTGATGGCAAAAAAGAACAGCAACATCCAAGCCATAAAAATAATAATTTTGAAAAATTAAATAATAAAAATTGTATTAAAAATATTCAGCCAGAACCGTCTGCCCCTCCAATGTATTTTACTATGCAATTGCAACAACACCATTTTAATTAATTTTATTTTTGTAATTTTTTGTTTGAATAAACGAATATTTTAATTATTTTATGTAGTTCAGATACATATTTAAAACTTAAATCAAAAAACCCCCAAGTTTTGTTTTAAAGACTAAGTGTCTTGGTATAATATTACTTCGAAAATAAATAATTTTTAAATTTAATGTTATTACAAGTCAAAAAATAATTAACTACCTAAATCTTGTTCTTCTTAGTCATTTTTAATTTTTTGGAAGTTAGGTTAACTAACTAGAAAATAACCGTGATAATTCTAATGACTAAGGTTTCGAGATATTATTTTTGAAAGCCTGAATATACAATTCAGACAAAAATTGATATTTAGTTTGGCCTAACTACAGTAAACAACGTTTTTTAGATTTGGACAATTTATATCTCATTCGAAAGAGCTCAGCGAGCTGAGTCGAACGACACCAAAATTATTCCGCGGACTCAACTCTGAACCCAGATATAGGTCCCCAAAAATCGAAAAATCATAGGGGGACCAAGCACTTTTCTGTGGGTGAAAAATTCGAATAAATAAATAATAGCTCATTCGAAAGAGCTCAGCGAGCTGAGTTGAATGACACCAAAATCAGCTCGATTGGATGATTCTGAACAAAGTTATGACCAACAGAATCTTCGCTGGAAAAACTGTTTTTTGCTGCTACGGAGGGTAGGCCGGGCATGGTCTTCGCTACACGATGGCCGTGTTTCGCTGCGGTCGTACCAACTATTCTCTTAAAGATGTTATTGTCATTGATTGAGGCAAATTTTGCATATTTTTACCTAAATTTGTGCATATTTTGGCATTTTTTGAGAAATTTTAGTAAAAAACGAGCAAAATTTTCAAACTTTTTGAATTTCTTGAGCAAAAAATTTTTTGATAAAAATTTTTCGAAAAAATTTTTTTCAAAAAAAATTTCTTTGGTTGAATTAAAAGTTAATAAAATCTTTAAGAAGTGCTCTTAAACTGCAATTTAGATGCTAAATTTGTATTTTTTACTTGAAATATTGAATTTTAAAGACCATTTTCATTATTTTCGCTGCATATTTAGTGCATATTTCGGCAAATTTGGCATATTTTGGTGCATATTTTGGGATTTTCCGTGCATATTTTGCCACTCCCTATTTATCATAGTCTGAAATTAATCAAAATTGAGTGAAGATCTTTAGAAAAAAATGTAAAAAAAATTTTTTTATTTAAAATTTTTATAATAATTCAAGCAACACTTTAAACAATTTTAATATTAAAAAACATTTATACAAAATTTTGTTCATCTCCACCGTATTTTTGTAAAAGCAAACTATCCAGTGTTTCAGGGGTTGAAATTGGTTGGGAATAATTTTGTATATTGTTTTTTAAATCAGGCAAAATTGAATTATTGCCAAAATTTGGAGATAATGCAAGGAGTCTAGAGACTCTTGGTGTACGGAATTTTCGTCTCTGGAACATTCGTCTCCAAGACTTTTCGGAACTTTCGTCTCCAACATTTTCGGAATTTTCGTCTCAAGCGGAATATTCGTCACCAAGGAAATAAACGGAATTTTCGTCTCCGCAATTTTCGTCTCCGCTAGGAATTTTCGTCTCCAGAAAAAAATGATGTGGTCCGTCAACGGGGATGTTGTTCCGTCAACGGAGGAAGTTGTCCATCAGCGGGGGATAGTGTTCCGTCAACGGGGATGTAGTTCCGGCAACGGGGGAAGTTGCCCGTCAACGGGGGATAGTGTTCCGTTAACGGGGATGTAGTTCCGGCAACGGGGGAAGTTGTCCGTCAACGGGGGATAGTGTTCCGTCAACGGGGATATTGCTCCGGCAAAAGGGGGAAGTTGCCCGTCAACGGGGGATAGTGTTCCGTCAACGGGGATATTGCTCCGGCAACGGGGGAAGTTGCCCGTCAACGGGGGATAGTGTTCCGTTAACGGGGATGTAGTTCCGGCAACGGGGGAAGTTGTCCGTCAACGGGGGATAGTGTTCCGTCAACGGGGATATTGCTCCGGCAAAAGGGGGAAGTTGCCCTCAACGGGGGATAGTGTTCCGTCAACGGGGATATTGCTCCGGCAACGGGGGAAGTTGCCCGTCAACGGGGGATAGTGTTCCGTTAACGGGGATGTAGTTCCGGCAACGGGGGAAGTTGCCCGTCAACGGGGGATAGTGTTCCGTCAACGGGGATATTGCTCCGGCAAAAGGGGGAAGTTGCCCGTCAACGGGGGATAGTGTTCCGTCAACGGGGATATTGCTCCGGCAACGGGGGAAGTTGCCCGTCAACGGGGGATAGTGTTCCGTTAACGGGGATGTAGTTCCGGCAACGGGGGAAGTTGCTCGTCAACGGGGAAAGTTTTCCTCTGGAGACGAAAATTCCTAGCGAAGACGAAAATTGCGAGACGAAAATTCCGTTTATTTCTTTGGTGACGAATATTCCGCTGGAGACGAAAATTCCGAAAATGTTGGAGACGAAAGTTCCGAAAAGTCTTGGAGACGAATGTTCCAGAGACGAAAATTCCGGCACTCAGACTCTTAACTATTAATTAAATTTAAATTATTTATAAATTTAAAAAGATGTTAGCAGGTTTAGATTGTACGTGATGTTGTTTGTTGTGGTACTAGTTTTTTAAAGTGAGAACAAACTATACATAACTGATTCAATAGGAAACAATTTTTAATTATTAGACCTTTACATGTTTTGTTTAGCTTAGTTAGTCCCGGATTCTCATAATAAAATTTAAAAATTTTATATGCTCAATATTATAAAATTATTTTTATGATAATTATTTTTATGATATTATTTTTATGATTTTTATGATATTTTTATGATTATTGTTATAATGAAATATGCTTTCTGGATCACCTCATACAGACTTAATTTTTTGGAAGCTTAAATAAATTCTTAGGCTATTTTTCTTTTTCAATTTTGAAATTCTTAGACTCATTGAATTCCCTTTTTGTTAAATTTAAATGAAGTTTAGATTGGATTTTTCTGAAAATATTTTCGACTTTTTGGGTAACGGCGAAAATAGTACCGCCAAAAATGCCTTTTTCTATGTCCAATAATTGCCACTGACCAACTTTTTCTATTAGAGATATTTTGGAAAATGTTACATATTGGAAAACTTGGCCACAATTCTGTCAACTGGCAAGTATTGAACCTTCTCACTCTAATCAAATTGAAATAAACGTAACACACTCGATTCCCTACTGGAGAACCTCTAAAATTTCGAAAACTCTTAAAAACAATTTAATTTTTGGTGGTTCTTGTGTGGATTTTTCATAACATTTTAACATGTCAAATTAGCGATCATAATATTAATTAATTGAGTTTTTAGTTTGATAAGTACTTGAAATATTTTGGAGATCTTGTCAATTTTTTTTTGATGATTCTATATTTTTTGGAAGCATGAACAGTGTTCAATGCTAATTATTAACAACGTTTTATAAAGTGATAACTCATACTCCTCCCCCTTTTTTAAAGAACGAGTTTAATATTGATGTCCGGGTTTTTACTAACAAAAACCCAACTTTGACACTTATAATATTTACTTATACCAAACAATAGAACTCTAATATTAACAATTATAAAATATATCATATATTCTTTAATATAATCTTAATCTATGTAATTTTAGGTTTACCATCTCAATGTTGTTGATACTGTAACGGGGAACCTTAAATTCTAATTTCCCCATTTCATCATATCCCTTCCCCACTATTTATCTCTTCATTTATCGCTTATTGTTTTTCCCATATCCTTCCCGCCCCTTTTAACAACTAATGGAATAAACACTTTGTGAAGATCAGTCTTGAAAG